AGGGGTTGGGAGGGAATTGCAAGGTGGGGAAGGGGATGGATGATGGAACTGAGCATTTGCAAGAGAGTTCACACAAGGGTTCATGAGAGGCTGAGGAGATCTGGGCGTCGGGAGAGAGAGATTTTGGAGGTTGGGGGAGGGAGGGGGATGGTGGCACGCTACAGAATTTGGCTTAGTATTTGCACCAGGATTCGCACAAGGCCTCTTGTGAGGGTGCATCCAGGGCTGGGGGTTGGAGGTGTGGGAAAGGGGTTTGAGGGGGGATTTAGGGGGATGACACACGAGGGGTCTTCCACAAGGATTCACACAAAGGTTTGTGGGGAATACTGGGGGGATTGGGGAGGGGTTTGAGGGGGGATTTGAGGGCCATGGCATGGGTATCCTACAAGTAGCTTTTCACAAGGGTTTGAACAAGGATTTCCACAAGGGTCTGTGGAAGACAGCTGGGGTGAGGAAGGGAGTTTAGAGGCAATTTTTGAGGTGGGGAGGGTTGTAGGAGGTTTTGCGCAGGGTCCTGAATGAGCATTCACACTAGGATTTCCACGAGGATTCTCACACAGGTGGGGGTTGTTGTTTTGGGGAGGGGTACAGGGAATGCCAGAGGGGTACAAGGGAGGCTGGAGAAGCTCAGAGGGGGGTGGGTGCTGCTGCACGAGGTTTTGTGCATGAGGGCTCACACAAAGATTCACACAAGACCTTGCAAGAGGGTTTAAGGGATGGGGGAGGGGGCTGAGATGGGTTTTAGGGGCTGGCTGATGGTGCGCGAGGAGCCACAATCCAACTCACAGATCTCTTGTGTCCTCTGAAACCTCCTGGGTCCTCCCTGAACACCTGGGACTCCCCAACACCAATCTCCCCAACTCTTTGGGTCTCCCCTAACTCTTGGATTCCCCCATAGTCTCCCATCTCCCCAGTCTCCTGGTTCCCGCCAAAGATGTGGCTCCCCCCCATAGACCTCAGTCTCCTGCATCCCCCCCAAAACCCTACCTCTCCCCGGTATCCCCAAAATCCCACCTCCCTGATCTCCTGTGTTCCCCCAAACTCCTGTGTCCCACAAGACACCCATCTCTTGCCTGTCCCCAATCTCCTTTGTCCCCCCTAGACCTCCTGGGTTTGGATCCCGCCTCCCTCACCTCCTGGATCCCTCCAAACCCTTTGGTTTCCCCCATAGATCTCTGACTTCGTGGGTCTCCCCAACCTCCTGTGTCCCCCCAAAATCCCATCACCTCCATCTCCTGAGTTGGTCCCCAAGATGTCCTCACCCTCTCAGCCAAATGGGCGGTACTGAAGAAAATGGGGCTGAAGGCCAGCCAGACAATGCAGGTGGTGTACATGGTGAAGCCAATGGGTTTGACCTCGTTGAAGGCCTCAAGGACACCACGGGCTTTGATGGTGTAGATGGTGCAGATCAACATAAGAAGAGCATAGGCCAAGCAGGTGGGCAAAGGGGTGGAAGACACACCCACAGCCACAGGGGGCTGAGGGTGCTGAGGACCAACAGAAGCAGGATGGCAGGGCTGGGAGGGAGAGAGAGGGGGGTCTAAGGGGGCACCTTGCAGGGGTAACCCATGGGGTGGGGACACCCTGGGAGGGCGGCACCCACTGGAGTGGGCAGGGCACCCTATGGGGGTGGGCTTGCACACATGGCAGGGGCGACCCTATGGGGATGTGAGGAGAGGGGTAGTGGTACCCTATGGGATGAGGGCGGCACTCTATAGACGTGGGATGGGGGACCTGACACCCTATGGGGTGCAGAGCTTGCACCCTATGGGAAGGGGGGGCTGGGACCCTAGAGGGGCAGGGGTGGCACCCTATGCGGTGTGGAGGCACCCTATGGGGTAAGGGTGTGGGGGGGCTGAGTCCCATAGGGGTTTCACTGAATTTCACTGAATTTTACTGAATTTCTAGAGTTGGAAGGGACCATAGAGATCATCTAGTCCAACTCCCCTGCTGAAGCAGGGTTGCCTAGAGCTAGAGCATGTTACTCAGGACTGCATCCAGGTGGGTCTTGAAAATCTCCAAAGAAGGGGACTCCACAACCTCCCTGGGCAGCCTGTTCCAGGGTTCCGTCACCCTCACCGTGAAGAAGTTTCTCCTCATATTTGAGTGGAACCTCTTATGTTCCAACTTGTGCCCGTTGCCCCTCGTCCTCTCAGTGGGAACCACTGAAAAGAGTCTGGCTCCCTCCTCCTTCAACCTTCCCTTGAGATACTTGTAGGCGTTGATAAGGTCTCCCCTCAGCCTTCTCTTCTCCAGACTAAAGAGTCCCAGCTCTCTCAGTCTCTCCTCATAAGGGAGATGCTCCAATCC